ATTTATATATATGCACTTGTTTAATTTAAGGTTATCAAAATTATATCTATATAAATTCATGGTGAGTGATTCCATTGACAAAATCTCTACCTCTCATCTCTTCCCTTATTTTTTTTTTTCAACAATCTCTCATCGATGACTAGGCCTTATTTATTTATATATTTAAAAACCACTTTTAAAAAATTAAAATTTTTTATTTTTTTGTTTCAATTTAATATTTTTCTAGTATTTTTAGATTATTTTAATATATTAATATCAGAATTAATTTTTTAAAAAATATTATTTTAATATTTTTCTAAGTAAAACAAATTTTAAAAAATAATTACAGCTCCATTTTTAAATTATCACTTTTAAAAATAAAGATTATATTTTATGATCTATTAATTAACATATTTTTAATCACTTATATATAATGCTGTTATCTCCTTTTCATACATTAAATGCATATGCATAATGCAGCGTTATCATGGTACATTATGCCATGTTTCCCGTTCACTGCACTTTGATATGAGAGAAATTACAGGAGCAGTGATGATCGAAGATGGTTGCCAATTTTTAACTTGTCTTCTTCCATGAGATATTTATCTGAAAGAGAATCTTTCAACGGTAAGTGCTCTCTGCAATAAATTCTCTTGGCCTCGACCAAAACTCTCTCGGAATTAACAATAAATCTCATTAGAGAGCCAATTAACATTTTCTTTCAAAATATACTGAACATTTTCAGCGCTTGTGTTTTTTTCATAGGTAAAAGCAAATCTAATTTATTTTTATTTTTTAAAAACCATCATTGCCCGTTGAAAAAGCTGTGCTGTTTCATCATGATCAAAATATATCCTTACTGTAGCTATAGACTCAAATCCAGTCTAGATTGTAGTAGACGGTTTTCAATTTTTTTCTTTTTGAAAAAAAATGGTTTGTTTTTGTGTTTTGAAAGAATTTTTTTAAAAATATTTTTTTTATTTTTATTTTTAAATTAATATTTTTTGATATTTTTAAACTAGTATAATGTGTTAATTTTAAAAATAATTTTTAAAAATAATAAAAAAAATATTATTTTAATATATTTTTATATAAAAAATATTTAAAAAATAACTATAACCACACAAAAAAATCATTACAAAAAAATAATTCAGCCTAAAATAACATTATTGGACATGACTTGCAGGGATAGTTTCGGGTTTTCACTTCATCAAGCATAGTTAAATTACTTATTTATTCTTAAAACCAACAAACTCTTTCCTTTGATCCAAGGTTAATGTTATTTTTTTTATCTTAATTCTTTTGTTAATATTAAGTGTGTCAAGGGGGAGGTTCATCTTTAATATTATAATAAATATTAAAAAAATTATGTGATTCTTTATCATCATGTGATTTATGCAAGATTACTTGATAGTCAAATAATGAATTTGAAGATGCTATCTAATTTATCTTAGCATTTTCTTAATTAATAGTCAACATGCGTTGTCGATGAACATCTAATTTAACATCCATAATCATTTTTTCTTTTTTTTTCTTCTTTCATCTTAGATTGACACACATTACCTCTAAATTTTCAAAGCAACTACTGTTTTGTTTTCTTTTTTTCTTTGAATTTTGCTTTTGTTATTTTGATTTTTGATTTTTTACACGTGGTTATCTTATAGAGTTATGATATTTTTTATAATCTTCAATCTCAATTTGTTATGTGTTTTTTTCACTTTGATTTTTATCTTTTTGATTTTCTATTTTTTTCTTAATTTTTTTGTGAACTTTTTACTGGTTTTTAATTTTATCCATCAATTCAAAATTAAAGTATGTATATTTTTTAGTGTTGTCCTTATTCTTTTTTTCTCCTTTTATTCAATATTTTTCCTTTCCAATTTTATTAGTTAATCAAAAAATTATACATGTCCTATTTTTTTTTTTTATCTTTTTGGCTCTTGATCCTTTTATGTTTTTGATTTTTTTTTAATTTCATCATTCAACATTTGATTTGTTAGATATTGAGTTTAACAGGTTTTTCATGTATGTTGCTTTCGATCTAATAATTTAAGTCACAGGTTTAAAAAATTAACGCTGATCAATATCTTTTTTTATTGTTTTTTTTTCAACTTCATCACTGGTATTGTTTTTTTTTTTTAAATAGCTTTGTGGTTTCCTTCTGTTTCTTCTATATTTGATTATCCTGATCTCATGACTTTGATCATGAATTTAATGGGTTAACCCGGGTTGACTTAACTTTTATTATAGGTTTCATGTTTATCATGCTAATTGGGTTGATCTATGATATTTTTTTCATTCAATTTCATCATTTCAGTATTTTTTTTTCAAGTTGCTGTGATCACCTTTTTTATTGTTATTGTCTTTTTTTTATCATCTAATTAAAATAAAATTAACTTATTAGATCTGATCGGATTTGTAACCTAAGTTGTTGATTTTTTTTCTCTAATTAAAACGTGATTATCTAGTGGTAATCTAAGGCAAATGGAAAGTGAACGACAATAAAAAAGTCAAAAGTTATAAAAATCAAGAACATCATATTTATTTTTTCACAAATCTCATGTATAAGTCTCTATGGGTTGGAATTAGCTCTTCATCAAGTTCAGACCACGATTAGAAACTATCTTCTACCACGAACATCATTTCATGTGTAGGCCATCCTAATTGAGTTCCTAATACTTTTATGTGGATTATCCCATCATAGGTTCATAATGTAATACTATTGTGTGAGTCGTTCTGTTATGGATCCTTAACACGACACTTTTGTGTATACCATCCCATCATGGGTGCTGCCATGCGAATTTATAATAACATCAACTATGTAAATAAAAATAACATACTAATTGTTAAAAAAAATTTTCTCGATAATGAACATCTTCATACGAGTACATCATGCTCCAGAGTCTCTTTCAGCTATGAATATTCAACTTCACACAACAATTAACCACCGATAATTGTTGAACTCTGATACGTATTTTTTAAGACCTCTAACTAGTGATTTGACAACATATAAACAAAAATCACTAAAAATCATTAGTTTTTAATATCAAACAAGTAGTTAAAATGCGAAAAATAACATAGTTTATTATAAGTTAAAACGCTCTAGAACCAAAATACTATAATCATAAAAAGACTCCTAAAATATTTACTTTTTATTCATTAATATTTCACTTGCTGAAAAATTATTGCAACCTTTTATATAGAAAAAACTAGGAAATCAGGATAACCATTTCTTTTGTATATGAAAAAAAAGAAAAGAAAAAAAGGATAATAAAAGAAAAATATTTAAAATAAAATTAATTAAAATAATATTTATTTTTTTAAATTAAACTCTTTCATGGTAATCATTATTGTATAATTAAAATATCATTTTCAAAACAAAACAAAACAATAAAAATAAAGATATATTTTATTGTATAATTTTTTCCATTGATGATTGTACTCTTTATAAGGGTCATGCTATTTCAACTTGATCAATTTATTATTTTTACAAGTATTATTGAAATAAATAGTAAAAAGAAAGCGGATAATTTTAAGGTGATGTTTGTTTTTATGGTTTAGATATATTTTTAATTTTTTCTTGTATTTAATTAATAATTTTTGAGTACTTTTGGATTGTTTTGTTGTGTTGATATAAGAAATAAATTTAAAAATAAAAATATTATTTTAATATATTTTCAAGTAAAATTTATTTTTAAAAATAAGTTTTATTATAATCACAAACTCTGTTCAAGAACGTGTTTTACATCGCGGTAATGATTTTTTTTACTTGAAAATATATTAAAATAATATTTTTTTTCTAATTTATTTTTGATACCAATACATTAAAACTATCCAAAATATTTAAAGAAATTAATTTTAAGCAAAAATACTTTTAATTTTTTGAAAACAACATCTATACCACAAAAACAAACAAGATCTACAGTAGTGTTTAAAATTACATTAGCAATTATTTTTTAAATATTTTTTAAAAATGTATAAAATATATTTTTTAAAAAAATATTTTTAATATTAATACAATAAAATATTAAAAAAAATAAATATATTTTTCAAACACAAAACAAATATCTAAAAGACAGCCTCCCTTCATTAATTGTCCTGGGGTGGGCGTTGAAATAAATTGGAAAATCTAGAAAGAGGTGAACATTGAGAATCTTGCGTGGTAAAGCTGAAATAAATTGGAAAATCTAGATGAAGGTGAACATTACTGAAGTATGATGTGTTTAAAAAATTAATATATTTTTTTAATGTAAATTAACTTTTTATATATTTTTAGATTGTTTTAATATATTAATATTAAAAAAATAATAAAAATATTGTTTTAATATATCTTTATATAAACAATATTAAAAAAAACAATTACTATTGCATTTTCTAACTTTTATTATTTCCAACGTGGAGACCGAATTGAAAGGCACTCCTCTCCAAGAATGAAGTTCTCTCTCTCTTCTTTATCAACTGTATTATGAAAAATTAAATTTTATAAAAAAAAATAGATAATGAAAAAATTGATTAAATTAAGAATCTATTTTGCAATCCTTCATAACAGCTTCATGATTTTCTAAAAAAATTATTATAAATTTGCTTTATTTTATTTTTAGAAACACACTTATATGCTGGGATGCAAATTTAATAATTTCTTTTAAATACTAACTTTAATATTAAAATAAAAATTAAAAAAGGACAAATCTCTTTAATTACCGAAACCACTCTTGGAGTTAAAAATGGTTGTGAGCAAACGAGAAAATATCTAACTACTAGCCATTGGTAGAAGGAGAGAGAAGCCGCTTGTATCAAAAGAAATGGACGGTTGGAGGCGGTTTCCACGTGTAGGGGTAAGAATAAAAGGAGAAATAACAAAGACATGGAGGGAAGTTGAAGATGAAGTAGCGTTTAAGATTGCGTTAACTTTATTTTATAAAAAAAATATTAAAAAAATATTTTTTATATATTTTTTTAATTCATTCTCATTATCAAATTTTTTTTTTTACAAGAAAAAACAGCCACTCCGAATTCCCTCCCCCACCGTTTCTTACGTTTTTTCTTTTTTCTTTTTGTTTTTTTTTCAGACATAAATTATCTCGAAACTTTTTAAAAGCACTTCTGATTCACTTCCTATGTGTTTTGATGACCATAGGTTCACTTCGTAACGCTTAAAAGTTGTTATCACCGCAAATTCAGACCCTTTTAACAGTAAATACCATCAGCCACCACCAAAGGGACTAAACCATCAAAGTTTTTCTTTTGTTATGGGGAAGAGAAAGAGAAGTAGTGGTGATCATAACAACACCAAGTGCACTTCTTCTTCGGGTAATGTATCAGTTCTCTTGCTTCTTTAAATGATTTTGGGGTTGTTGAGAAAATGGTGGGAGATGAAGGGAGTTTTGAATCTTGATGATTGAATGGTTATGGGATTTTATTTTAGTGAAGAGAAGCGATTATGGTGGGATTTTGTGTTTTATGAGAATCTATTACGGATGAAGCTATAAAGATTGAAGACTTGATTTTCTTTATTTCTTCAAAAAGGAGTCTTTTCCTCTTTCTTTTTTGAATTCTTAACAGTAAAATTGAGTGTTAGGGTTTAATTGTCTTCCTGTTTCTTTAAATTGTTTGTTGCTCTCGTTGCTACTAGTTCCTGATCTTTCTGATTGTCTCACTGTGAAATGCGTTGGGGTTACTTTCTGCTCCTTGATCAAGGCTGGATTGAATGATCACGGCTACCTTTTGTCTGATAAAGTAATTTGATTATTGTTTGATCTGATGGAAAATGGGGTCTTTGGGATCCTAGCAGAGAATGTGCGCAGTTGCAACATGAATTCCGAGGAGAAAAGTGATTAATTTCTCTGGGATTAATTTTGTGGGGTTGGATTTCGAGTGTGGGTTTGTGAAAATTAATTGGCCAAGCCCAAGATAAAGGAAAGAAAACTGTGTCAAGTTCTTAATTTGGCTTATAACAATTTGCTGTGCATGGCTTTCTGATCACTGCAGGGATCATTATCATGTGTTCACATTGATGATCATGGATGCCATTCCCAGTGATTGTTACCTCTTACATTCCAGCATGGTTTTTATTATTGTTTTAGGATTTTCAAATTCGCCTCAATGAAATATTTTTTCTAGCTAATGGAGCGACCTGTCAATGCATCTTTATTGGCAATTGAACTTTGGATTATTTTAATTTCTTGATTGATAAATTTATTTGATGGATTGCCTTTATCATCATTGTCCGCTCATTTACATCCTGCATTCGTCATCCCAGGAATTTGACTCCCGATCATTATTTCACCACATGCCTTTGTAGCTATTTAATACTGAGAAGTAGTCGATGCAACGAAATGGGTTTTTTTCTTAATCTTCGAATCTATCCTCTTATCCATCAATGTAAATGTCATAGTATTTACTCCCAGAGATTTTTGATTGCTGATCTTGGAATCCTTGAGTTAACGGATTTCCACATTTTCCTATTCTACATCCTTCACATTTGTGGCTGCTGACCTGCACCTGCTTGCATAGCTGTTGAACCTTTTCTATCATGTTAATTTCCCTGCTCTGTGGTGATTCATTAGTTGCACTTTCTTCCTTTGCTTCAACTTTATAATCATGTCTGCTTAACAGTGGTTCCTACAATGTGGTAAATAAAAAAGTAGTGACATTGAAAGTGCATTAGTCCTGGTTAGAGAAAAAGGATTGGGACCTTTTGTGTCAAGTAAATGGTTAGGAATAGTTCCTTTTTAGCTCATTCTTACTCTAAGAGGAAATGATGGGGCTGAAAATGATCGTAGTATCTTATGTTGCAGATGACTTGCCATGCTCTTCTGGAACAGACTTGTTGTCTAGAGAGGTTAGTCGTTTTTTCCCTTAATTATGAGATACTGTAATTTCTTCTTGTGTGTGCTGCTTTGCTCTCACTTTATCTTTCCTACATGGATGATGATGAGGGGTTAAACTGAAAACTTGAAAACTTATGTCTGGATCAGAATACTTGGTGCAGGATGAGACATTTTTTCATATTTCTTTTTATTCACATTGTGACCAAATAAAAATTTAAATGTCTTCACGATGAATAAAAAAAGAATAAAGGAAAAGGAAAAAAATAATTGTTTTTAATTTTCCTTTAGCAGAAATCTTATTTGCTAGAGTCTAGTGAATCAAGGCCTCTCATGCCCATGGTGGATACTTCAGATAACACTGTAAAGGTATTGAATGCACAGCATTCTCATGCACATCAGAATAACAACCTTGGCCGTTCAATAGTCTTGAAACGATCACGACACTACTATGGTCATCAGTACTCCCGGAGAAACTTGGGGAGCCATGCTGATGCATCAACTTCTCATGGGAAGACTGCCCTTTCACGTAATGAGAGGCTTACCTTCAAGCTTATCAGTCAACCAGGCTCCAAGCCTGGGTGCCATACAGGTGAGATATTCGCAGTTGCATGGTGTTGAAGACAATGTTTTTCCCTTCACCATGGAAATAATCTAATAATCTAGCATCTAGCTGCTTCATTCACGCTTGTATACAAATGGGGCACCTAAATAATTTCTATATTATTTCCGAAAATATCAGAGGTGTTATCATTTTCTACACATTCGGAGCTAAAATTCTTACGCACACAAGATGAAAGAGTTTTTCAATGCATCTTTAAGATTCAACACATCAGCTATTTACATTTACTTGCATTGACTTTAATTTGTTTCCACTTTTTCAGAAAACAAGGAAATAGAATTTAGCAGGCCAGACAGGGTTAGATTCAGTTCCTTGGTAATGAATACAGTTTCATCTGATGCAGTGAAGATGGTATGTGGAATCTGTCAGAAACTAGTGAGAAGGAAAAATTATTTTCTAGGAAATGCATTAACTACTGGTGAATTCTCTGTTGTGGCCATTCTAGTTTGCGGTCATGTTTATCATTCAGAATGTTTGGAGCAGAAAACAAGTATTGAAGATATGCGTGACCCTCCCTGCCCATTGTGCTCGGGCTTGGTCTCTGAAGCAGATGCCTCTAGAGAAGAAGAGTAATGTGATGTTGACTTACATCTATGCTATTGATTATCGAGGACAGACGTATCATAAGACAGGGAACATGGAAAGAAGTATAGGTGGTTGAAATAGACTTAGCGAGGTGTCGTTAGGACTAAAGGATTTTGATCGACAGTTCTTCACAGTCTCATTGCTGTCGAGAATGTTGAAAAGAAGTATGAACTGCAGTCATCTCTCATTAGTGCTAGGCCTAGAGAGAGACACCGCAGTTTTTGTCAAGATATGGACACCAGTTAAGGTGGCATATTTAGGAGAATATATTAGTAAATGACAATTTTAGTTTTGTTGTACGAGTTGACAATATTGTACACGCGTTTGTATTGGTGTATGAAGTGGCGGTACAACAAATTCAAAATATCAGTAAATGACTATCTTAGTTTTTTGGTATGAGTTGACAATATTGTAATTGTATTGGTGTAAGAAGTGGCCGTACACGTTCAAATATGAAAATGTTTTAATTTGTTCCTGCTTGGAAGCTTTGAACGGGGATTGGCACGACTGATTGCCCAGAGTAACATTTAGTCTGTTTCCCTTCGTGTTATCAATTCCATAATTCTGGTAGTTCAAAAACTAGGGACAGGAGTTTCAAGGAACATGCTATTGTCAAGTATGAGCCAAAAGGTCATAAAATCCTCTGCCAGAAAAGATGAAATACCATGTTCACCCTACCTCTTGCTGCTTAAGACGTGGCCAACAAGGGAAGATTGTGCATTTGTAATCGGATTCTAGAGGGCCAGCAAAAATGACCGCTTGGATTGATTACTCATTTCAGCATTGAGGATGGCCGCTACTTCCCTGTTGGTAAAGGAACAGTTACAGAAGGACGTCTGAAATAACTGCTGCACTATATACCTACAAGAACCTTTGCTCCTAAATTTTCCTGTATCATCAGTTTAAGCTCTACGCAAACAAAGCAAACTTCAATCCTTGCTAAGATTGACCTGCTAAAATTCTTAACATGAATTTCTGTTTTGAAAGGAAATGTAGCTTCATGAAGAAATGTCAAAAGAATCAATTTCTTATGGAATAAAGTGAAGTAGTACTTGGAAAGTAAACTGCAGTTCGGCCGGAGGATGGAAATCCCCCGATGCCCTACTTTTATGGAAGCTGCCCTACTTTAACTGTAAGGCATAGGAAAGGAAAATTAAAGATCTCATCAGCTCACCCAAGGAAAATTTTTTCTTACTTGTTATGAGTTCAGGACCACGTGTTCCAAATTGATTACGTTTCCACAACCAGATAATGTAGAACTTTCAGCATCTAACAGTCCAATTTTTGCAAAAATGGTTCTTGGAAAGTGCAAACTCAAATCTTACAAGAATTCATGCTGTTCAAGCGCAAAAAGTAAGGCAGTGTCAAACCGACACAGCACTATTTCATTCTTTATATCAAGTGCAGAGAACTTTCGTAGTATTATTGCTCATATAACTGTGCGTTATTGCTCATATAACTGTACATTATTGTTGATACAGGAAAGGCAGACTCATCAAGGTCCCGTTTTGAACCCGCAGTAAATTGAGCACATTAAGAAACTTGAGCTGGGCTTGGACTACCAGGACAGGGCTCTATCAATGTCAGCTCTTCACCACCTGGGGCGGTAGCATGTTCCAAGGGTTGGGCTATGAATGCCAGCTCTCTGCCACCTGGGGCGGGGGCATCAAGAGCTGGAGCATCAAAAGCTAGAAGTGGAGCAGGGGCATCAAAAGCTAGAAGTGGAGCAGGGGCATCAAGAGCTAGAGCTGGAGCTGGAGCTGGGGCATCAAGGGCTGGGGCTGGGGCATGTTCTAGGGGTAGGGTGGGTTGCTTGCATGTAGCCTTATTGTGCCCTTCTCCCTTGCATCTGCTGCAAGACATTACCCTTGTGGGTTCTCCCTTTCTGTAGTAATATCGTTTTTCCTCTGGCTGGATTGGAGGCCTTGGGGTATTCGGAGGAAGCACCTGCACCGACCCGGAGACTTCTTTTTCATCAGCCAGATCCTTGAAATTGTCCAAAACAGGGTGTATTGACTTTGTATACGTCATGCGAAAGCTATCAACAGTGTAGTATTTTGAACAATAATCATATATGCTACTGCCTTTGCATTTAAAGACAGCAATAGCATGGCGACAAGGGAGCCCAGTTAGTTTCCACTCGAGACAAGTGCAGTCCCTTTTTTCAGTATCCACGACATGAATAGAGTCATCATGAACCTCAAATAAGGTATCGGATGAGAATAATACTTTTAAAAATTGAGCTCTCAGAGCATCTTCTTGTAGCTTTTTCTCCTTGGATGGAGTAAGTTTTGCAGTCCAGCTATTTGAATCCGTTTGACATGTGCGGATCAACCCCATTATCTTGCATGTAAGTGCTTCCAGCTTCCGTATTATAGGTAGCTCCCGCACTTCTTCAATCCAGTCAGTGTATGTTGCTGCAACATCAACTGTAATATGATTATAACGCTCTCCCTTGAATAGTGCATTCGTCCAACATTCTGGTTTGATCTGCATAAGCCAATCATAAACTTTTGAAGAAATCCGTTTAATTTGCTCCGTGTGCATTCTAAAACCATCAAGTCGGACTGCATGGGCAGCTGCCACTAAACTTCCAGGCAAAGAAACTTTCCCATCTCCATGGAATGGCCCCTTCCAGTTCCTCCTCAGGTTTTCCAGCAGATGGTATATAGAGTAACCATGGTGAGCATTCTCAAATATTTCAAGCACTGATTTCATCAACCCCTTCTCTTTATCAGAGACAAAAGTTACTGGTTGTGAAGTTGAAATTGCAGCTTTCAACTGCTTCAAAAACCATTTCCAATTATCACCATTTTCAATGTCCACTACAGCAATGGAAACTGGAAAAAGCCCGTCATCTCCATCTAATGCAGTAGCTGTCAGCAAAATCTCATGGTATTTTGATTTTAAAGTTGTAGAATCAAGAAAGAGAATTGGGCGACAACCATTCTGAAAACCATATATTGAGGCATGAAAGGATACAAAAAGACGCTGAAATTTGCTGTCATCATCAACCGAAAGCTTCACAAAACTGCCAGGATTTGCCTCCACTATCTTATCACAAAACCAAGGCAACATATTATATGCCTCTTTCTTGGAACCCTGAAGTTGCTCCTTTGCATCCTCAATTCCACGCCACACTTGAGAATAGTTCAACGCCACCCCAAAGTCTTGGAAAAGGCCATTGGCAATGTCCTTTGGTTTTTGCTGCGGTGTCTGTCTTAACCTGTCTTTTATGATACTGACCAGCCAATTTTTATTTGGAGTAGCACGCCTCCATGATTCTCCTTCACAAGTATGTAACTTATTCATCTTTTTTATCCTAAATACTTGTTCAGATTCGACCCAAGATGCATGAATCCTCCAAGAACAGCCTTCAACCACACATCTGCCACTTGCTCGATTAGTGTCATTCTTTTTCAATCTGTACGCAAAACGGCATGCAATGGAATATTTCTGCAGGGCATCACGAAATTCAGCTACATCTTTGAAGTCCTGGCCTACCCCAGTAATTCTCTTTTTCCAAGAGGCAACCATCCTTTCCACTGAAACATCCTTAGAGTTCACACCATGTACACATAATTCACTATCTTCATTGTCTGATTGCCATTCTATTTCGACATCTACAAAGGCATTATCATGGTCCCAAGCGTTCTTCTTCCTTGATGTACTTTTTCTTGTCCTCGTGTTCGTCTTTCCTGACGTGCTTCTGGTCTCTCCATTAACATCACCAGTATTGTCATTGTTGTCGTCATTGTCATCAAGAGCAATGCTGGTACCATTGGCACTGATATTCCAGGATTCAATGCGCCTTCGCTTCTTAACAGTGTCAGCAGGGGAGGTATTCATATTAACTGTAACTGAGTCATGGACAGTTGTATCAACAGGAACAGTGACAAGATCTGTTGGAATCAAACTAGCAACACCAGGATCCTTGGTAATGGTGGCAGGAGATTTTTTTGAGATAATGGCCAATGCCACACTAGCAGGGCTTTTAGCTTCTGCATTGGCAGCATTTGCGGTTTTAGAAGACAATACACAACGACTACCAGAGGCAACAGTTGCAGGAGTGACTGTTGGTGTAGTGACTGCAAGACAGGATGGTGCACGGCTTTGGGCTTTATCCTTGGCAGCTCTTTTCGATTTAGATGACAATACACGACAGCTGCCAAATGCGGCTGCAGCAGGAGCGACTGTGATAGGAACTGGAGACAGCACAGTTTCAGCTAGTTGGATCCCACTTCCTCTGTAATTTTTAAAACCACTATTAATCAAAGTCAGAAAGAGAAAAAACCCCATGACTGCTGCAACCAGAAAAATTCCACCAATCACAATGTGCCAAATTAACAACTAAGGGTTACTGTGGAAGCATTCGGGGTCATTCATCAAAGAACCCAGTTTGGGGAGCGATGCTATGGCATTGAAATCTCTCAATACAACAACTTGAAAATTACTGATTTTTAGTAAAGTAAGAACAATAAGACTTGTTCAAAAATGAAAATCAATAATCCACGCTCTTAGAGACATGAGGCAGCTGAAAGGCAGAAAAATATACCTGCTAGTATGCATGCAGTCTTCATGTTTAAAACCTTCTCTTCCCATGACAAATACATCTGCTGTGATCGAGTTCCCATGAAAATCAAACACCCTTTTCAGGTCTTTGTCACTAGATACAGTAATTAGAGTTCGCTTGTTTCCAGGGATAAAATACTTCATTGACAAAGATTCATATTCCAAGTTACACATTTCCGCCAATTTTAATTTCAGATCATCAAACACAGTTTCAATATTGATTTCTAGGGCATGTGCCTCTCCTCCATTATATGATAAACTCCCATCATCATTCGTCACAAATTCACCACCAGACTGGCAGATCAGTATAAGCTTTTCCCTTGGCATCAGAAATCACTTCTGTGGTTCAAATTGACAATCAAAACATGTTATTATACCCCCCCACAAACACACATCTCATGCATCTTTTTAATCTCCAAAACAGTCTATACTTCTGTATGACAAACAAATTCTGAGATAAAAGATTGTTTCATGTGTTTGCAATTAACATGTTCAATAGCTATCAAGAAACTGTAAAAGCATACAAAAACATGTTACAGGGGCGCTGATCATAGTTCTACAAGAATGCAAGCACATCTGGTTACAACCAATTTGATAAGAAGTTTCCTTGGTATATCTTTGATGGAACAATGCTCTGATTTACAGTCTATAAGGAAGTTAAGGAGCATGCCTGTAAAAGTTGGATTACTGAATATCTTTTCAATACACCACAACAAAACACAAGTTGGTGATTATATGCAGAGACATCGTTTGATCTTAGCAGATCAAGTACATGAGTGCACACAGTGCCGCATAGCATGTGCCGTAAATCAAGGGCAAGGGCAAATCAAAACCAAATTGGCTTGAATTTTACAACTTGAATTATTCAAGTTCCCATTTTCAAGGGACATGCAAAGCAAAGCTC